ATATTTTTAAACCCTACTGTACATCACTACCTATGGAGAACATTGTCAGTCTAGTACATAGTCACACTACACTCACAGGGCACAATAAGGACTGTTTAAGGTCCCCTAAGAGGAGGCAGAGTTAAGTGCTTGCTTTCTTAAAGAGTAAAATAGCATCAGTCTGCACTAAAAATACAAATATGGAAAAAAAGTAAATGCTTTGTTTTGAATGGATGCTAATTTGCCCAATCTCTGAGTTTAAACAATGGGGTTGCATTAGCTATGCAACGAGCACAGATGCAATTCCTATTAATTTAATGGGAGTTATGACTTCCATTAAGTTTAATAGGAGTCACACAGCCAAATCCCCATGTACCTTGCTGGAAATTCACATTTTTAGACATCAACTAATCAAACACACCGAAATGAACAGAAGAAGGCAAGCAAGCTAGGCTGTGAAATCGAACATGGCTTCCGAAAGTCAGCCGGCTCAGGAGCCCCCGCAGGCATTTCCAGGAAGAAAGAGAACAAGATGCCAGGCTGAAAACACCAGACTGAGCCTAGGAGCACCACTAAACTCTGCTCACCCCTAGCCGCTAATGGGATTTTTGCAATTAAGTGTGACTATTTCAATTTTTTTTCCTCTTTTCTTAGTTTACCGGCAAAACAGATTAAGGAAACAAGACAAAAACAAAAAACAAATACAACAACAACAACAACAAAAAACAAATTATGTTCAAGGAGCCTGATCACCCAGATTTAAAAATAAATAAATAAAATAAAACTAAAAATGTAAACATGAACCCCAAGAAAGCAAATGGTTTTACAGACTTCTGAATCATACTAAATAATAATTTTTTTAAAAAAAAAATCACAATTTTTCTTTCAAAATTAATTTTGAAACCTTACAATCCAGGATGGGACTAGGAGTTAAGGGCAGTAACTGCCTAGCCTTGGCCTTTTGGTAAGGACTCGGTACTTCTCACACCATTATCGCTCTTCCATTACAATGAGATCTTCGAAGATTCACAGTCTTCCCTGATGGATACAGACTGACTGATTACTGGAAACCAGACATTAACAGGGCAGGGACGTTCCCTGATTCTGGGAAGCTGACATGTTATGTATGTGCATGTGTGCATGCAGGCTCATGAGAATGCATTATTTATTATATTATGTGAATTACAGAAAAATTATTCTAGTGATCTAAATTGTTTCACTCTTGCTTCAGTTTAGCGAGAAAGAATCATTTTCCCCCACAAAACTCAGACCATTCTGAAATATTAGTATAACAAAGTAACTTTTCTAATTCATACTTATCCCTACCTCTATTCCTTAGCTACATATTAAAAACATCAGTTTAGTCAAATAACATTAGTATAAAAAGCCATTTAGAAATTGACTTTCAACTATATCCACCAGTATGTTCTCAGATTTTCTTGATTTTTATAAAAAACTTGAATCTTATTTTCCATTTGCATTTATTACAACATTTTTCTTTGAAACTGTGATAAGCAACAATGTAATCTCGTTAATTAACTAGACTTCAGAGTTCTGAGGTCTAATGATACATTTGTTGCATACAGAATTTGGCCTAAAATCATATCATGGGCTTTGTTGAAGAACTGCTGTTCTTTGTAACCTGTCACTCGAGCAGCTTTCATGTGTCTGACGTATACATGTCAGGGCCCCATTATATAGCATAATTTAATTCTCTAGGACACAAAAAGTCAATTTATTTTTCTTCTTACTGATACATGATTCCACAGTGGGTTACTATGCTTATAAAAATTGGCCAAAATAATCAAAGCATGCCAGGTAAATCTTAACAGAACTAAACAGTAAAAGGCAAAGTTAGCGCTACAGAAATATGAGTCAATTAAATGGAAAGTTTATAAAGCATTTCAAAGTATGATCTTCATACAAGCACTGTTTCCACAGAGACACTGCCATCTTCTAAGTTACATAGGAGACTTAAGAAGAGAGCATTGCTTCTATTAAAAAAAAAAAATCACAGGATAAACTGATGAACAAAGAGAATACAATAAGCAGCAAACTTGTCAAATAATGAGTTAATCATCTTAAAACATAAGAGTATGGAATTTGCTTTTTGGTTCCATAGGAAGCAGCCAGGGCACAATTAAGTGGCAGACTAAACCCCAGCAAGCACGAGGACCCACATTTCAGCCCAGCACTGGGAAAATAATACAAATAACAAAAGTACAAGAATGTGCACAAGAAATACGTCATAGCGCCAAGATGTGTTTAAGCACTGGTAGATCTCTCACAAATCTGGAGGCACACCTATTGTGGGTACTACTGATACAGACCAAATTCAAAACTACATGAAGCCTTCACACTGCTTCCAAGGACAAAGCACGTCCACAGGAGAAAATAAAAGCCCTAAGGATGGAGATGAGGCCATGACCTTCATCCATGCACAACTTGGCTGGGGCCTTGGCCGTTTTTTTTTTTTTTTTCATCTTTAGTGCTATGAAAAATTATTACCTTTTGGATTCTACTGAAAGGGTAAAGAGCTGGCAAAAACAGGTTAAATAATGCCATGAATCCAATCCTGCCCTTGGGCTTGGCTGGCAGGTTCAGTCCATGGCACATCTCAGGGTGTCACACTGCAATGGCCTGATGAACCCCAATGGGCCCTCGAGTCCCCATCCTCAGCAGTGAAACAAAAGCTCCTAAGTTAAAGGCCTACTGTGTGCATGTCTTAATCTCAAGAACACACTCAGGTTCCACAAATAAAGAGAATGAAGAGGAAGAAACCCAGCTTGACAACCTCCTGTGAGCGGTCATGAGGTCGTTGGAAATGGTACAAACTCCAGACCTCTGCTAAAGAGCTTGCTATGTAGACTGAGGGCCTGAGTTCAAATCACAGAATCCACAGAAAAAGTGAAGCACGGCATTGTGGGGGCAGAGACAGCAGGATTACTGGGGCTTAATAGCCTAGCTCCATTTTGACATCTTGAATATAGAAAAATGAGTCTTTAGAGTGTGACAAAACAGGGCCATCTATGTTGTCTTCTGTCCTCCACACACCTAGAAGACCACACGGCCCAGCATGCGTGCACACACGTGCACACAAAATGAAAGGAAGAAAAAGAAAGACCATGTAAGAAGAAGCGTAATGGCTGAGAGTTGGAGTTCTAATTCTGTCCCGTCGCCTGAACACCTAATTTTGATTAGTTTCTCAACGGGCATCCTCAGGTCATTATCTGATTTCTGGTAATAAAGGCCGCCAGTGTCATATGCAACTCTTCTAAGACAAACTCGTATGCCACCACCTTCATGTTCTGGCAGTGTGTGCCCACTGTGGCTACTCTGAAAATCAGCAGTGTGCGTCCCTCCCAGGCTCTTTTCTTGCCAGTAGGAGGGAATTCCTTCAAAAGCAACATACCCCTGGCCTGATGAGGTAAAAATGAAATTTCTCTTATGAGTGGATATGAATCCTGACCTGAGAGGTGACACTTGAAATAAAACAACCGTGTGTCAAGAAAAAGCCTCCGCACACCGCCCCCCACAGAGTGAAGCTACTGTGCTGGCAGAGGGCTCTCCATCTTGATTGGAAAATTTTTCATTATTGGACTAATGAGCCGTTGGTCCACACCTGGAATCTTTTTCAATGTATAAAAACACTCAACTCTAACAGCAGGAATTCAGGCAGTGTTTTTCCCAAAAAAAAAACAGATGCAAAATTATAGACCATACATATGATTTTCACAGCAATCCAAGCCTGAGATTCCTATTATTAAACTCAGTTTCCGCCTGTTTATCATTATAGTACTAGTTATTCCAACATAATACACTTTCAGATTGCCTATCTTCACCTCTAAAGCAAAGAACTGTGGCATCGCTGAATTAAATACCAGCCTGTGTGTAACTTTCAAGTGAATATATATGTTCTGAATATGGAACTATTTTCAAATATTTCTAAGTATGTTAATCATTTAAATTACACCAGTTCCAAAGCAGGAACCAGGGAAAGCAGACAGAAAACGCAACTTTAAACCAAGTAATTTGAACAATTCCTTTTGACAAAATGAAAATATTGAGTTGGTTGGAAGTTCTTCACAAAGACAACAGACAATGGCTTTTTTAGAGTTGATAATGTACTTTTCTCCTAGCATTCTATTAATATGTAAAAACTTAGAATACTGGAAAAATATACGTAAGTCCAGTGTTTTATTTTATTGAGATTTTAAAAAATCCACTGTATGTGCAGGTATTTCTAAAAGATGCTTTAAAGTTAATATGTTTCATGCTAAATACAAACATTGTCATGATCTCCTAGCTGGATTTTACTACGTTGTATCTTCTACCCTGGTCTAAAGAGCGCCTTAGGGAGCTTTTTTAAAAAGTGAGTAATAACGAAGACTAAATAATAAGTATCAAAAAATCTATTTAAAATTAATATATGAGAGTTATCACTATTTAAAACTAAAAAAGAAAAAATTTCATGAGTGTACTTCTTTGAAACTTAGGTCTGTACTGAAAACTACACTCGAAATTATTTATAATTTACACATTTTATAAGGACTGAGGTTACAATTCAGTGGTTGAAATTCTGTCTTTCTTAAGCATAGGGAAAGCTGTTATTTTTCTAAAAGAAATTTCACACTGCAAAGAGTGTGGCTGTGTATTCATAAATGAGGAATTTTATTTCAGATGTTGCCCTAATACGACTTAGAAGCAGAACTGAGAACGGGGACTTCTAAAACAGCTTAAAAGAAAAGGCCAAAAGAATTCAAGTTTTCTGGAACAAAGGCAACTGGTATATGTTGAGAATTATTTTGTAAATTTATAATCTGATATAAAATACAAAATAAGGCATCTAGCACTTTTTTATACCAGAAACAGTGTAATGATAGTCATTTAATGACAAGGAAAAAAAGGAATTCAACACCCATTTTTAAAATAACCAACTAAGAATGAAGCCTCATTATAACACAAAGCGGATGAGAACCTTGGGGTCCTCCTGGGTTTAAGAAAGAACGACTGTGTCTTACCTTCCGGATTTGGTGAGAAACTGATGATAATGAAAAACCACAGGCTTCTCATTCTGCAGCTAGAAGACACCATTATTGATCCCTTTAAATATTTTCTTTGTATTCCTTAATGAATCTAGTTACAAATGCCCAGCTTCATCGAACCCAGCAGTCTGCATCATCGATCCTCATATCTGAAAAAAAAAAAACAAATCAATCAATTACTTTAAGACCTTGGTATGTCATCACAGCAAATGCATAAGTAACGAAACTCCCTTCTCTCCATTTCTTATCTAGGAAATACACGCTGATCGCATATCCAGGAAGGTAGCTGCTCCTACATACACAGTATCTGAGACACGCTGAAAAAAAGCTCCCAAAATGGGTAGACAATCATATTCATAAATATGTGTGTATATATGTATATACCTGTATATATATATATGTATATATATATACATATACATATATATTATAGTAATGATATTATCTTAGGATAGCATGGAAGCTCAGAAAAATCACCTGAGATAATACATTAGTCTCTCTATGATATTAACCTTTTGATTAAAGAACTAGCTTTAGACTACAGAAAATCTCTAGATAAATGATAAATCAGAAAATCTAGATAAATCTCTAGATAAATATAAATATGTTAGCATTTGTTGATGAGAGTAACACCAATATAATTTAATATTTCATATAACAGATTACAGAGCCAACGAGGTCATTTTTTTTCTAGACAAAGGTAAATGGTTGAAACACGTGGCTTCATGTTCATTTACAACACAAGCAATCAAAATACCATCTCCAGCCGCTCCTTCCCTGCTAACTGGTCACAGAATGAGCAGTTAGCTAGTGTTACACCTTCCTTTTAAGGCTTTAGGTTCCCTAGCATGGCTTTCCTCTGAGTAAGGTGGGAGTTAAGATGAAAGTGGCATCACCAAGCCTACTAGACCTGAATATATACCCAAAGGCTGTGAGCACTGTATCTTCAAGGGCATTGGGGGTTTCTTCTCTTTTCTTTTTAAGACAGCGTCTAATTCTAGGTTAGTCTGAAACTCAGGATCTTCCTGTCCCAACCTGAGCTCCTAGGATCACAGGGAGAGACCACAGGGAGCCTTCCAGACAACTGGTCGACTTCTTTGTAGGGTAGTGTAAGGAACCACAGAGGCTTACAATACACATGAAATGAAGACAGCTCCCAAATATACCTGAACTTCCTGGTCCAGCCACCCACAGTAAGGAAACCACTGTTAAAGAACCCTTCACAAGGTGCGACTGTGAAATTGGTTAGTTTTTGCTGTTGGGCATTGGGCAGGACTGGGAAATCGAACCCAAGGGCTGATGTCTGCTAAACAAGACCTCTACCACTGAGTTACCCCAGTGTTAACTGAACTGAGTTTTATAAAGTGGGAAGATAAAGCACTTCTATTCCTTGCCTCTCTCTTGGGCTGTACACATGACTCAAAACAAAGTCTTGCTGATTTACATCCTATCATCACTAACACATGAAAAATAACAGCGATCCCACATTCTCCTGCTCATCGAGTATTCTGTCAAATCACCCGAATCACTCATATTTGTTTGAAGCTGCATGTACCACGTTCGATTAGCAGTTCCCTCTATTCTGTCATGATGTAACTTCAATGGAAAAGCGGTCAAATTCTAAATGGTTTGAAACATAACATTCATCAAACTACAAAGGGATTATCACAGCTGTCAGCAACAAATATACCAAAAAGGATGCAAGAAACAAATTACTCTGAATCTACTCTCTAGCATTTGCATATAAAAATCCACAACGGTCTCAGATGAAAGGCGATGGAGATGTTCCTATTATAAGGAATTGGTTTTATCATGCCTACAGGTTAAAGGATAGAGAACTATGTCTACGCCTCTGTGTGTGCATATATACGTTCAGCCTGTATTTTAGCTCTGAAGAGATTTTTAGGTATGGCTGTGACTAGGGGAGCCTCGGGGATTAGGCAGCTCTAAGAACACCCACAAAAGCTTCACTATCAAAAGAAAGAAAACAAAAACAAAGTGTGCCATGTGTCTTCCTCCTCTGAATGCAAATGACCCAGAAAGAAGGAAGACATCATAACGCTGGATACAAGACACGCCTCCATACGCACAACCAGCCAGCTCGCTCTGATAGTCTTCCCCAGGGCTAGCCAAAAGATAACCTGAAGTAAACTTGTAGTTTACCCTCCTGTGTGTGTCAAAGTTCCTGTCTCCACGCTGAAAGTTATTCTACGTTAGACGGATCAAAAGACTAGTGCTCTGACACCCAACTCTCATCAGTGAGCATTTTCTCACACACTTCAATATACAGCAGCTAAGAAAAAAAATTCAATATGTGAATGATAGGCATTCATTCCTACAACTAAAACTGAGACAGCCTTTGGATGGCTCCATGCTCCAGCAAGGAATTTTGCCTCTCCAAGTTTGCCTTCCAATAGGTTCTTTTCGCCCAGCCAGCTCTCCACACAGGCAGCTCGCCCGCTTGCACCACTCTGAAACCCATTTCCAGTTTCTTACAGCGATCCAAGATCCGTCTGTCTTTGGTCACCCACTATTTGAAAGAGTCCTTGTTTGTGGGGAGAAAAGGAAGGAAGAAATCAAGAGCTGATGTCTGTCTTGTAGGAAACGGCTGCCAAGATAGGATAGCCTGTGAGAGCGAAAGGCAAGAGAAACCACACAACCAAGACCTCTATTGTGGTCTTTGGCCAGCACACTGACTTCAGAAGCAGATTTTATGCACTGAAATCCCATGTACTCTTAAGGCTTGAGAATGTGAAACACACTTTACAATGCACAGTCCACTTGACTGGGAGACCCAGTAATTGGCTGTTTCTGGTAAATAGAAGATTCTGGAATGTGTAAAATTGTGGATTATTTTATGCAGATAAAGATGGAGTTCATCTGTCTGTGCAGCAAAGAAAAAAATATCAAATTTATTTTTCTCATTCTACAACCTATAACGAATCACTTTCACATCAAATAAAATTATTTCCAGAAGTTCATACTTTGAGTGCAATTTTTGAAAACTAAGTCAGATTTTACTGCTGTGATCCAAATTAAAAACAACCCTTCATTGAACAAATGTTAATGAAAACTGAAATACTTACACACCACAATCAGCTAAGAATAGAATGAATAAATAAATATGGTGAAAGGAATCCAAAAAGCTTTGTCCCAGAAGTGAACTGGAGCCTAAGGAAACTCACAGGCATTCATGGGGCTACCAGACCAACCTGCCAAACCACCTCCAAACCTGCAAACGCCAGCTCAAAGCACTGGCACAGCCTGGCATGCTGCTGCTGACCTACAATCTGAACATGCTGGAGACTGAGGTAGGAGGATCACCATTTAAGGGTCACTTGGGCACAGACAGACAGACAGACAGACAGACAATTTAAAAGGGTGCAACCTAAAAATAGAGGAGGTAGGTAGTTCTCACCAAGCAAAATAAAGCATAGGAACAAAAGCAGAAATGGGGTACCGAATATCCTTCCAACCAACAAAAGATTACTTTGAAAAATACCTCAGATTAACTACTTATTTGTGTTTAGATTTTCAGGAAATCTTTTTCCAAGCAGATCAGAAAGCTTAGCACAGCAAGGGTAAAGAATGGGCAGAGAACACTAGGTAACAGTTTATACCTCGCGTCATATATCGTAGTAAAGCTGGCACGGGACTCCTTGAACTGGCTCTATTTAGAATCTTCAGCAAACCCAAGATTCTGATGGACAACCTCCTAGGCTTCTGTCTCATCCTCCAAACAATAAGACCCCGGCTATTTCATCCTAACTTGCTTCTGTGAACCGCAAGCCATTGTCTCCCCTGCTTCGGCTGTGACCTCTTCAGATCTACACATCGTATTACTCAGCCATGTAAAAAGTCAATTAATGTAGCCCTTACTAGGAAGCCTTTCCCAGCTGGGGAGTGACTTCCAGGAATACGGCTCAGCACTGTGCACACCCCTGTGCACAGCCCTGGACAGTTCAGACTCACTGTGGTCGGTAACCTGCTTTTTTTGTTTAACAGCTGCAATAAACACCCCTGTGCCTTAAACTGTCAGCGAAACGACTTGAAAGGGAACCACCACTGACCAGTTCTCAGTCACATCATTATGTGGGGTGGGCCGGAAATCGCATTTATGAGGTCAGAAGATAGAAAGCTGAATCTCCAATAAGCATCATCATTGAGCCAACAGAACTTAACATCCATGACAGTTAGAGGGAGAGGAAACTTAACAAAAACTTGCCAAAAATGGATGAATGAAGCTGGGTTCTCTACCAAAAGCAAGGTTACTACTACGAAGAATCACTTAAATATTGACAACATTGGATAGTAAATGCAGAGAGAATCCTACAGAGAGCCAGGAGGAGAAAGAACTCTGTAAGCCTGAGACTGACCAGAGTCCCAAGTCCTTGATACTGCAGACACACTCATGCTACTGAAAACAAAGCAAGCATGCTCTGGGTAAGCCTGAAGTCGACACATCAATATATTTCAACTCTAAATGTAAACCAAGGATGGCTTCACAAAATCATTCTTTCTGATCTCATTCCCACTATAAAATTGTAATCATTATCAGACAGCACTTCCCAGCTCAGAGGGGGCGGGGGGTGAGCAGAAAGAAAGCAGCTTTTCCATATTTTACTAATATAAATTTGTAGAAGCAAGAGACTGGCCTTCCCACACCCCTCGACCCCAGTAAGTTACAGACTCCTATCAACATAGACAAAGCTCAGTCAAGGTTTTCAGTTTTCCTAAATATTTTTTTGTTCCATCCATTACAGCCCTCCTCACTCAGACCTGAGAAAAACGCCAAGAGCTCTGGGAGTTTTCCACCAATAGATGCCCAGAGTGAACCTTCAAACTCACTAATTAGAACCTTTCTCAACACCCGATGTTTCTTTGGGCTTTTAGTTTATTTTCTTCCCTTCGCAAGGGCAGCATTGGGGGTGGAGGTGGCAAGGCTGAAACCTTAAAACCACGTGGCCAACCAGTAGTCCCACCCTCTCCTCACTCCCTGTGTCTAATCCCAGCAGACAAGGGTACCAATACCCACAGTGCTTTCTGACCACCTTCTACTAAGGTCCCCCAAGAGTCACCGGTCTTACCCTTTATGGAAACTTCCTCTTTGCAAAGGAATAAATCCTCCCCTGTAGCTCAGAGGAGCAGA